GGGTGACAACTAATGTGGTGGCTGAAGCTAAGGCTATTCTTCAAGGTTTGGAATACTGTGTGGAGCATGATCTTCACCCTCTTATATTGAAGACTGATTCATTAGTGATGAAGAAAGTGATAGAAGGGGAATGAGATCCTCCTTGGGTAATTGCAAATGATGTGAATAAAATTATAGGGATGAAGGGCAACTTCAATGTGATCTTTCAACATATGCTCAGAGAAGGCAACTCAATGGCGGATTTTATAGCTAACATTGTTTTTTCTTTTGCAGTCATTCTCTGAACTGCCTAGTGCAGGGAGGAGATTGATTAATTTAGACAAGTCTTAAACTCCTAACCTTAGGGTTAGAATATCAAAGAGAAGAGCCCTAGACTAATGGCTTCACAGGATAGGAATCTGCACATACCTGGGTGTTTCTTTTATGTCTCATTCTGTATGCTATTAAGGTACTTTCCAGTGGTATTAGCATGGTCACATGCTCATTCTGGGGGTGCTTTGATAGTGTATAGGACCAATGTGATAAGCAGGTATTGGATGGTGCAATTTATTCTACTTCTGATATGTTCAAATGTTAAGGAACAGGTTGAATCTGTTATGTGGAATTTTTGGAGATTATTGAATCACTTCTCAGTGGTATTAGCATGTCTTCATGCTCAATCTGAGGATGGTTTAGCAATGTTTATAACGATTTCTACATGAAAGGTTCGGGAAGATAAGGATCTGAGCTTACAAGAACATAAAATCATCTAGCTCCACAGGCCTGGCGGCGCCAGGCTAAAGCCTGATGATACCCCTGGCGTTACCCTGGCATCGCCAGCTTAAAGCCAGCCCTGGCCTGGCTTTTGCCTTGCAAAGCCTGCTTAAAACCAGCCCAGCCTGGCTTTTGCCTTGCAAAGCCTGCCTAAAGCCAGCCCCAACCTGGCTTTTGCCTTGCAAAGCCTGCTTAAAGCCAGCCCCAGCCTGGCTTTGCCTTGCAAAGCCTACCTAAAACCAGCCCCAGCCTGGCTTTTGCCTTGCAAAGCCTGCTTAAAGCCAGCCCCAGCCTGGCTTTTGCCTTGCAAAGCCTGCATAAAGCCAGCCCCAGCCTGGCTTTTGCCTTGTAAAGCCTGCCTAAAGCCAGCTTTAAGACAGGTGTAGCCAGGCTCTTTTACGTGATAATATTGATGATCGACCACATGATTTATACTTGGATAGAGTCAGTACACTGCCTATGGAGATCATATTGTAGCAACACTAATAATTGGAAGAGTATGCTGGCTTCAATTCTATGGTGGAGATGTTTGGAATTCATTCTAGCCTATGGACCGGATACCCTGGCGCCTGGTGAGAGCTTGATAGGTGCTGCTTGGTATTTGCCAATGGCAATTGGATTCACATACACTGACAGGAGAAGGAAGCATTCAGCGGACAATATTGTAATAGCTAGTTCATTAGACTTTAGCTTTTCTATCTTTAGTAGCTTCATGCAACTTCTATTTTGATTTGGACATCTTGTAAGCTTTGGACCCATTTTGGGATTTTATTTATATATTAGCCACTAGGCAGCCTGCCTAGTGGTATATTTGCTTAAAAAAAGATTAGTTTCTTATAGTTATATTTATGGTATAAAATTTCTTTTGGCTAGATTTGGGCCATTTGGGGTCGGAAAATCGAGGAAATGACATTCTTATTGACTGATTGAGCTTGATTTGAGGTAAGTGGCTTGCCTAACCTTGTATGGGGGAAGTCCTCTTAGAATTTGGTATTGTTGTGATACTTCTGTGATATGTGAGTGCCGTGTACCGTGAGATGACGAGTGCGTACACGGGCTAATTATTGAAAAATCCAGTTTTTACTGAGCAGTAACCTGTTACATCTTAATTTGAGTTATACCATCATGTGCAGTTATCCTGTTTAGCCTAATACCGCATGTCTACGTGTCTTAACTGCTTAGTTGAAATCTGTACAACATGCTTAGTTGATTTCCTACTTTTTCCTTGACTTGTATTTAGTCTTAAACTGTATGATTTCCTGTTGTAATTGTTGTTTTCATCGATTTCGAGCTGTGTGTTTACTTTTGGGACTACGAGGCAGTACCTCGGGAAATCCCCTGTTGCATATTTACTTTTGGGACTACGAGGCGGTAATTCGGGAGATCCCATGTCGCATATTTACTTTGGGACTACGAGGTGGTACTCCGGAAGATCCCGTTGCATATTTACTTTTGGGACTACAAGGCGGTACCTCGGGAGGTCCTCTGTTGAGCATATACTTTTGGGACTACGAGACAGTATCTCGGGAGCACCCCTGTTGTTTATCCCTATGTGCTGTGTTGTTATCTTTCTGTAATTTCTCCTTGTTAAATTTCCAGTCTCTTATTACATTGCTATATTTTCTGCCTTAGATTATTATATTCCAGTAGGGCCTTGACCTGACCTCGTCACTACTCGATCGAGGTTAGGATTGACACTTACTGGGTACCGTTGTGGCGTACTCATGCTACTCTTCTGCACATATTTTGTGTGCAGACCTAGGTACCTCCTACCAGCCCCGCTATTAGTCGAGAGTATTTGTTGCGGCTTTCGGAGTCTTCAAGGTACATCTGCCAGCGTCCGCAGACCTTGGAGTCCCCCTCTATCCTTTATGTTGTTTCTTCTTATTGTTCCTAAACATTGATGTATAGAGACAGTTAGAGTTTTTCCCTAGAGCTTGTGACTTGTGACTACCGGGTCTTTGGGGAGTTGTATGCTCAAAATTTTTGGGTTTTACTTGTATATGTCGAGTGGCAGTTTTTCATCTTTATATATATATATATACCTGTTATTGTTAAGGTTTAGTAGTTATTTATGTTGTTGTTCAGTTTTTCCGCAACCGTTAGGCTTACCTAGTAATAGAGACTAGGTGCCGTCACGACATACTACGGAGGGAGATTTTGGTTGTGATAGTATGGGAAGGATACTAAAATTAGTCTCCTTGGTTATAGAGTTGTAATGTAAAGCTTAGCTACAATTGGGTTCATTGTAGGGGGTAGGGTACCAGAGTTAGTCCCCTTGGTTATTGAAACCTAAAATTGTTATTTGAAGTTAGTGAAGTTTTGAAGGCAAATCCTATGAGGGTAAGTTGTATTTTTTTTACTCCCATGAGCAAGGAGTTTTCCATGTAAAAATTGATATGTTGTCTATATTTTCGCACTTCGCTTTCACTTTTGTGTCAAAATAGTCCAGTCAAAGAACCAGGTTCTTTAGCACGCGAAAATTAGATACGGCACAGTACACCCCCTCCCCTCTTGTGTGTAGGTGCATCTTAAAATAACAAAAATATTTTAATTAAAACTTACACGTATTTTTGTGTTTACACCCACTTGATGAGTGTATGGCATATATTATCACTAAATTATACTCCCTCTATTTTAATTTGTTAGGACCTTTTCGGAGTATGTAGATTAAATTGATTACTTTTCAGTATAAATCGAATGCAGATTTTTCAAGCTTTTCAAAATAAAATTTACATACTTAAAAATTAGGCTGAATACATTTGAAGACACTTAAAGTTGGCACCATTTTTCATTTAGACACCTAAACTTAAGGGTGTTTCAATTGAGCACTTATAGTACCCTAAACTTTTCCAATTAGATACTTCTTGCTGAGTTGGCACATAGAGTGAACTTCACCCAAAATAGGCGCGTGAAGAGCCCAAAAAACAGATTTTATCTTTATTTTTTCTTTTTGTTTCTTTCTTCTTCTTCTTCTTTTCTCTACACCATCACTTCCACCATTGTCTCTCCCACTTTCACCATTGTCATGCCTCTACCATTAATTTAGCTCGAAAGTTTGAACCAACAATCGTCTCAGTTGATTGAAACCGAAGTGAGACCGTATTCTTCATTTGAAGTCAAAACACCATTAATGGAGTCTTTAAGAAATCTTAAAGGTTTAAAATTGGTTACTTGATTTGATGAAAATTTGAGAAATTAATATTGGGGTTATCTTGAGTCTTTGTGGGGAATCTTTAGCTGAAGTTACAACAAATTTGGAGGAGTTTATCTTGAAATTTTGGATTAAAATCGCGGTTGGAACAAGAATACACATGAAGATAGATAAGAACACCAAGAACAATGATTTCAAGAACACCAATATGTCCTTTTTTGTCTTTTCTTTTGTTAATAATGTGTCATTTTCTGATTGGAGTGTAAATTAATTTTTTTTTCTTTTTGAGAATGTTATTTTATTTTGTTTACTAAATAGATTTTAAAATAGTTTTTTTTTTTAAACTCAAAATGATATATGTCCTTTTTTTATTTGTCATTCGCTAGGTCAGCAGCGAGTGCATTGCACACACTTTGTAAGTTTGGCTAATTGTCAATAAAGTGCCTAATTAGAACAAGTTTAGGGGTAATATAAGTGCTCAAATAGAAAAATGGTGCCAACTTAAGTGTCTCCATATGTATTCAGCCTAAAAATTATAAAATGTGTACTACAAGATATAATAGTAATATTCAAAATATTTAAAAATTATTTATAAAAGAGAACTTTGTTTGACTATTCAAATAGAAATATGTTCATTCTTTCTGAAAGACAGTAATTAATTAATATATATTTGCACCTTAATTTGTCATAATTAAATTTTCTCACTTACTAAATTAATATGGTTTGAGGTACACATCCGGCGTATGTTTTACCCCTATGCATTGGCAAATATAGTACCAAATTAATAGCCAGTTTGACTAAGCTTCTAAAATTGATTTTTTTTTAGAAGTGTTTTTTTTTATTTTAAAAAGTGCTTTTTAAAAAGTACTTTTGATGAGAAGTAATTGTGTTTGGCTAATTAATTGAAAAAATACTTTTGAGTAACAATTAATATTTAACCAAACTTTTACAAAATATTTTAAGTGTATTTTTTAAAAAAGTATTTTTGGGGATAAGCTCTTCAAAACTGATTTTGCTTCTACTAAAAAAAAAATTCCTTCCAAAAGTTGGACAGACACTTCAACATTTAAAAAAATTTTTTTTATTAAAAAAAGTGCTTTCGGGAGAGCTTGGCCAGAAAACGCAGCGTTCGGGTAAAAAAGGTAGTTGCTACCTCCACCCCTTTACCCCCAACCCCCAACAAACTGCTTGATCCGTTCAAAGTAGTTTATAATTAAACCCAAATCTCTGTTAAATCTCATCCAAATCCTTCACAAATTTATAGGGCTTCGATTTCAATCCACTCTCTCAGTTTTTACACATTTTGATATACATAAATGCATACCTATACGTATACCTATACCTATAAGAAGACGCATAGTAAGAATTATTCAGTTGATTGATTTTGAATCGTACGAGGAGGACCTGTGAAGAAGATTTGACTATAGTATCAAATCTACATGTAAATCTCTTGATCATTTTTAACATGGTGAATGTGGGATTGGAGAAGGATAGGGAGAATAATGGCGGATTAGCCTCTATGGATTCGATTGAATCGCGATGGGTGTTTCAGGATGAGTATGATTCGGATATTAATAGTGTTGACCATGATACTGTCAATGGAGATGATGGTTCGACGCCGCGCAATGTCTTGGATTTGGACTCTGAGGATGAGGACGATAATGCCGTGCGTAAGCTGATCCGTACTGGCCCTCGCATTGATTCCTTTGATGTTGAAGCTCTTGAAGTCCCTGGTGCTCAGAAGAACGACTTTGATGTGAGTTTCTCTAGTTATGAATTTGCTGAATTGTATGATCCAACCTTTATTTTCTTAATTATGCATAATTTAATTTGGTAAATTATTATATTTACATTCTAGAACCTCTTCACCTGTTTTCGGTTGAACTTGCTTGGCGAAACTTGTGCATTGATTTCACTTGGTTACGTAATCAACTTGTTATACAATATGTCTGCTCTTAGATGATATCTGCACTGTAAGGAAAAAACTGAAATGCAGAGGGTTGTGAAGCTTATTTGACCCCAAGAATGGTAACACTGATGGACAGAAAGGGAGAAAAAACAAAGAGGAGAGAGGGTAGTCAAGGTTAGAAGAAAGGAACAAGAAACTGAAGTATTTTTGAAGCAAAGGAGGGTACAAACGAAGTTGTTTGAACAGGTGCCAAATTAGTGCGAATTTAACTTTTCTGTAGGTAATGATAGAAGCAAAATACTCAATCAGGTTTTTACTTTTTTTTTTTTTTGACAAGTAAAAGTTACGTTAAACTCTATACAATATCTAATATAGGACATATGTTATCTCTTTTCCTCACTTCTATTTAGTACCATGTCCTCTGCCCAGTTTGTAAGCTAACATTTTCCTTAGCTTCTGAATTTCTGTGATCCTCCCAAAAGTAGTTATTGCATCACTTTTTGATGCTTGAGGTCATCCTTGAATGCTTATGCATCTCCAATTATTGCTTATTGCCTTATCTTTGATACTTGTAACTCTAACCATCTTAAAGAAAATGTGTTCATTTTCTTGATTTGTCTTCGCATGTGGTTGTTGTACCAAGAATGAAGAATGAATGCTCTTCTATAGTTTGGCTTAGCCAATATTTTTCTTTTCCTGATCAATAGTTAATAATTTAGTTTTGGCTAACACTTTACTAAAAGGGAATTGCACTTGATAAAACTTAAAATTGGAAGAGAACTATAGCCAAATAGACTTCATCCTTAAAAAAGTGACAGGGTCACATGTAAAGACTGCAAGGTTATAGGTGGAGAAACACTAACCACTCAAGATGAACTGGTAAGCAGATATGAAGCAAAGAGAGGAGCGAAAAAAGAGAAAACTATCAGGCAATTGAGATTCTATGGTGAACACTAAATGGCATAAAGCAAATAGCACATGAGGACAATTAATTGAAGGAGGATCCGAGATTTGGAAGCTAATACAGATATCCAGGAAATGACAAGTGCATTTACAAAGTTGTAAGTGAACTTCGTGTGTATATGACTTAGGACCTTGACCACAAGTGTTCTATTGTTGAAATGAGGAGGTGCAAAAAGTTGTTAAAGCAAAAAAGAGTGGTACAGAAATTTGCTATAACAGAAAATAGAGAAGCCTTTTAAGAGTGTACGAGCACAGTCCCATTATGTTCCTTTAAATTCTTAAGACCAGCTGGGCCATCTCTGGGAAGTTGTTTCAAGAGTTGCGCTGAAATGAAGCGACATGAGACTCCCAAAAAACAATGGCAAACTATCTCATTATGCATATTTTGGGTCCAATGGAAGGAGAGGAATAGTGGATGCTTTGAAGGAATTGGTTATCCTGTACATCAGTTGAAATATTTGTGTACCTCTTTTCTCGTATTGATCAAAGTATTAATGCATAAATACTCCTTCCTTTTCTATTTTATATGAAACTCTTTCGATCGCAGTGTGTTCCAAAATTGGTTATCCTGTACATCAATTGAAATATTTGTGTACCTCTTTTCTCGTATTGATCAAAGTATTAATGCATAAATACTCCTTCCTTTTCTATTTTATCTGAAACTCTTTGGATTGTAGTGTGTTCCAAAAAAGAATGACGCTTTTCTATACTTGAAAACTCTTTAAATTTGAATTTTAGTTATCCTTAATGACATACTCTTATAGCTATAGAAATGTAATGATATGTTTAGGACCTAAAAGTTCAAAGCGTACTTTGTCAGCAGTCTCTCTTTCTTAGCCTTTGTGCCGAGTCAAGCACTACCTATTAAAATGAAACAAAGGGAGTATCATAGGTGAAATGATAGATTTAACTTTATGAGTTGCTGGTAGAATAGTATCATGAACAATTTGTATATACTGTGATCACACACCTTTTTGGTGCGATCGTCATCAGTGAAATACCCTTACCTTTTCTCAGTAAAGTGTATAAACAGTATAGTGCTAAGGTAAAAAGTTACTTAGTAGAGCTCGAGGTAAAGACTCTGATGACTTGTACTATAATTTATGGACGCCAGGATGGACAAAGAAATGCATAAGCAAGCACAACTAAGAGAGAAAGGAGCAAAGACTTTTCTTTATAAGTGAAGAGAGAACTTGAACCAAATTAAGTGTATTAAAAATGATTATCAACCAGTTTTGACCAGGATATTGAGATCAAAGAGAGATGGCATGCTATTTCAATATCTTCGTACATTTGTGACAAATGGCCTTAACTACACTTGTACAATCAAATCTACTAAAGTAGAGGATGTTATAAGAAGTAGGAGGGCTAGAAAAGCCTGTGGTTCAATTGGTATCCATGTTGAAGTTTGGGTAGTATGACTAACCAAGCTATTCAATGTTGTATTTTGGGAACGGAAAATACCAAATGAGTGGAGAAACAATATTTTGTTTTGGAGAAGTGGTAAGTTCACATGTAAGAGTTGCATCTTATACTAGAATGAGCTCTAACCACCTAACATAGTCTGGTTGTCTTGGGCATGAAGTGAGAGAGAAGCTAAAAAGGAGAAGAGTTATTTACAGTCAAGGATACGATGGTGGACACTAGAAAGGCACCTAACAACGTTTAAGGATAAATAATTGCTAGAGGAACATGAGAGTTAGAAGCTATCCAAGGGAAGGAAATGACAAGTTGTATTAAAAAATAGTAATTGCAGTTTTCCTCTTTATCACTGCGGTTTCTAGGGTGGTTGCAGACACCTCGAGTAGTCCACCGGGTGCTTGCTATCTCTTGCCATTACATGTACCAAGTAATGCTGCACATCGGTGCTCAAACAGATGCAGTGATATCTAAAGTTGTTGATTCATTACTTAATGCGACAAGAAGCGAAGTGTTGTCACTTTATGGACGAGGCCATGCACTTTACAAAAGTGTGCAATTCAAACAATGATGCGCAAATTGATCAGTTCTTTAAATCTCAACTTTGAGGAGTGAAATTAATATTGAAAATATTGAACTTTGGATTATAAAATTTATTATTTTAATTATTCCTTTTTAATGACTATTTTTTTTTCATTATTATGGTACTAAATTCAATATTTATTTTTTTTTTAATATAATTTTTCATAATTTCGCGCTTCACTTCAAATGTTGGTTAGCTTCAAGTCCCAGAAACTTGTCATTTTTTTGTGATCTTCACTTCTTATAGCCTGTTTGGCCAAGCTTCTTTTTGGCCAAAAGTGCTTTTGAGGGTGTTTGGCTAAGCTTATAAGCTGGTCAAAACCGGCTTATAAGCACTTTTTAGCTTATCTACGCGTTTGGTAAATTAAAAGTGCTTATAAGCCAAAAATAAGCTATAAGCCATAAGTTGGTCACCCCCAACATATGATTTTTCAACATATCAGCACTTTTAGTTTGACCAAATTTTTTACTATTATATCCCTAAAAAACTTCTATCTTTAAAACAAAATTCCTAACCCATCAATTGTTCCGTCACCTTCTTACCATTAACAAAAATCGGATTTTTCTTAGCATTATCTGGAGTGAGCAAGTTTGCATACTCTCATATAATGAATGTTTGTTTCCTATTAGAAATAAAGAATGTTTGAACACTTCTATTTTCTATATGAATATTTTGTGCACTATTTAAGTATATTTTTACCAACAAACTTTAGTCAAGTTATAATTATTGCATGTTAAGTTTATTATCAAATAATTTATAATTATATAAAATAATCTTATCTAATAAAATTTAAACTAAAAAATAAATGAGACATAAAATAATATATGAAACAATGAATTTAAATCTTGCAATAATCAGTTTCTAATTAGGGTAAATAGCTTTAAGGACATTTGAGTCATTTTAACAAAAAAAGAGAGCTTATCAGCATTTTTTACCAAGCACTTCAACTGCTTATTATAAGTGTCAGCACTCTTACCAAACACGTAACTGTTTATTTATTAAATCAGCTTCAGCACTTAAAAGTGCTTTTCAACACTTAATGCTCATTAAAACAACATACCCAATATTAAGTTCTTTAGGGTAAATGAGCATTAATGAGCACTTAATGCTCATTAACTTCTTTGAATCAGCTAAGCCAAATAGGTTTTTTTGGGTGTAAAGTGTTTTTTTCCAAAGTTAAAGATGTTTGGCCAAGCTTTTAGAAGGAACAAAAAGTGCTTTTGACTAGAAGGAGAAGCATTTTTTGAGAAGCAAAAAAAGCAGTTTCTTCCCAAAAGCACTTTTTTGTAAAGGACTTTTGAGAAAAATGTACTTAGAAGCACTTTTTAAAAGCTTGGCCAAGCACTAATTGTTGCTTAAAAGTGCTTTTCAAATTAATTTGCCAAACACAATCTGCTTCTCACTAAAAGTACTTTTCTAAAAAGCACTTTTCAAAATAAGATGATTTTAGAAGCTTGGCCGAGCAGGCTATAAACATTGGGATGGGAAAGTATTCACTTGGTGTTGCCAATGCTAGGATTAGATCCACCCTTTTGGAGGCAATATCAATTGACGTTTGGGCATACACAAGGCCTAGGACCTGGATGCAATTGCTTGGTGGTGGAATGAAGAGGTGTAAAGAACTATTAAAATTAAAAGATTCTTTTATGGGAAGTTACCAATAACAGAAGAGGGAGAAACCTTTGAAGAGTATAAGAGGGCAAAGAGAGAAGCTAAGAATCTTCAAGTCTTTCCAATCTTCTTAACAAAAATCTGCAGTGGAGAGGTGATTAGGCAAGATATGGCGTTGCTCTAACTTACTGAGGACATGACCAGGGATATGAAGGCGTGGAGGTTGAAAATTAAGGTAGAGGGTTAGGATAGGTAGCCGATCGTTGTCCTTGTCGGTAACAGTAGCTTTAGTACGTGATTTAGTGTTATTTGTGTATTCTCGTATCCCTTGACTTCTGTGATTACTTGTTGTTGCTTTCATGTCAGCTTTCAGATTACCGTACCTATTATATTTAGTTTTGTATTTTTGCTTCGGTTTTCTAATTGGTATGCTTGTCGTTGTTGCCCTTCCTTTTCCCTATTCTAAGCCGAGGGTCTTTCGGAAGCAGCCTCTCTGCCTTCTTGAAGGTAGGGGTAAGGTCTGCGTACACACTACCCTCCCCCGACCCCACTAGTGGGATTACACTGGGTTTGTTATTGTTGTTGTTATTTTAGTAGGCATTCTTTTTAGAAGACAGAGTGAATTACTTACTAATTTTCAAGTGTATTTGCAGGATGTCTCAGCAGGTAGGAAAATCCTATTGGCCTTTCAGACTCTTGGAGTTGTGTTTGGTGATGTGGGGACGAGTCCCTTATATACCTTCAGTGTGATGTTCAGCAAGGCCCCTGTCAATGGCAACGAAGATGTTCTTGGTGCATTATCCTTGGTTTTGTATACCTTAATCCTCATTCCTTTGGTTAAATATGTTCTTATTGTTCTCTGGGCCAATGATGATGGTGAAGGTGAGCTGACGTTTGAAATTTGGCGAGCTGTTTTACATCATTATGCTCTATACTTTGTATCTTCTGATTCATTCAATGAGTTTGGTTAATAACTGCAGGTGGTACATTTGCTTTGTACTCATTGCTTTGTAGGCATGCAAAGGTTAATCTTCTTCCAAACCAACTTCCATCAGATGCTCGAATATCAGGCTTCAGACTGAAGGTGCCATCTCCAGAACTTGAGAGGTCTTTGAGAATAAAAGAAAGACTTGAAGCATCATTGACATTGAAAAAGCTTCTTCTGATGTTAGTTCTTGCTGGTACTGCTATGGTGATAGCTGATGGAGTCGTTACACCTGCTATGTCAGGTATCTGTAGCCTTTCTTTACCTGTTAAATCTGTTGGTTGAGAGAAACAAGTCAGTACTGCCTTTTGGTCCTCTAAGGTCCTTTTTTTTTTGAATGAATAAGCTATTCTTTTCTATTTAAAGTTTAAGTTCTTTCAACTATGCTGATGCAGTAATGTCTGCTGTTGGTGGTTTAAGAGTTGGAGTTTCTGGGATTAAGCAAGGTAATGTAATCTTAGTTCTTCCTTTTCATCTCCTTCCTTTTCTTTTTCTTCTCCTTTCGTTTCCTTGTTCTCCTTCTTTTTCTTCTTCCCCTTCTTTCTTTCTCTTCTTCACCTTCTCTTGAGCCGAGGGTCTACCGGAAATAGCCTTTCTACCTTACCAGGTAGGGGTAGGGATAAGGTCTGCGTACACACTACCCTCAACCCTCCCTAGACTCCACTTCAGGGGCGGATCTACGTAGTTGACTTGGGGTGCCACGCCACCCGGTCGCTCGGGTAAAATTGCATGTATGTATTTGTATTTTACATAAAAAGAGTTATATGCTAAAGCTTGGCACCCAACGTCACAACTTAACTGTAGGTGCCATGGTTAAACTTGTAACTCCCCAGCCCTAGGATGCAAGATCGATTCCCAACAAATTCCAAAGCTTTTCCTTTATCCGTGTCCTTTCATGTTCCTTTTCTTTGTTTTCTTTTTGCTCTTTTCTTAACTTCTTTTTATTTCTTTATCTTTCTATTTTCTCTCGTAGTCTCGTTGTACAATTCCATTCTATAGTATATTAAATTATACTTTTCTTTCCTTTTTTCAAAAATCTCATAATTTTGTTTGGATGTGATTTTAATTATTTTCTCTTTTCACCCATCTAATGTTATTCCTTGGTTTCCAATTTTTTTTTTTTTTGCAATGATGGGATCAATAGACATAATATTAGTCTAGCTATATGGAGATTAAATGGGTGTATTTGCTATTTTTTTTTATGTTTTTAATCACATAATTCAATAGAATTTAAATTGAGAGAATTATATCAAATTGGAAAAAATTTATTTAATTTGGTGATCACAAAATATCTTATAAATCGAAATAAATTTAAAATGGATCAAATCAACTAAGTGGAATTAATTCAAAACGGATCGAACCAGCTAAATGTACACCCTAATTCAATTTCCTTCATTAATGGTAAGTTTGCATTAAAAATTATGGCACCCGCAGTTATAAAATCCTGGATCCGCCTCTGCCCCACTTGTGGGATTAGACTGGGTCTGTTGTTGTTGTTGTAATGTAATCTTACTTATTGGCTGGGGAACCTTTACAGAATTGTTCACTTCTTGGAGTATGTCTTCTGCAAGTATGTTGATCACTTAATTCTCTTCAACATGCCTTTCTGTAAACTGAAAACAGTTTTCTGGTACATAGTTTGCTCTTAATTTCTGTTATACCATTCCTTTGGGACATCCATTACAATTGGAATGACACAAGGATGATTAGTGTGATATGTTCACGGATGACATGCACAAACTGAGGAAATGGTCCATGTTTTTCTTAAATGCAGTTTGCTTATGTGCATATGAGGTATAAACCTCATTGACATTGCCTAGCTCAGTAATGAAAGGAATTTCTGGTTATATTACATTCTGTATCGTTTTGGTCATTGAGAATTCGTACCATTTAATAGTTGTGCTGCTCAAAATTGCTACGGAAGCTCAGTCGTGTGAGCTGATAGTTTTAGCCTGACAAGACTGATTTGTTGATGCACCTTGTATGAGGTGTTAGGTTTAACCTATGAGAATCAGATGATAGGATGGATATGATTTGCTCTTTCTACCATATGTGATATCATTATGCACTTGAAGTCCTTTTAGTTGTAAGATTCTTATACTCTAATGTCTTTTGCAGATCAAGTTGTGATGATCTCAGTGGCATTTCTTGTAATTCTGTTCAGTGTACAGAAATATGGGACAAGTAAAGTGGGGCTTTTCGTGGGTCCTGCTTTGTTTATATGGTTCTGTTCCCTGGGTGGAATTGGCATCTACAACCTCATTAATTATGATTCCAGGGTTTGGAGGGCATTTAATCCAGTTCATATATACTATTACTTTAAACGCAATCCTACGAAGGCCTGGTACTCGCTTGGGGGCTGTCTTCTTTGTGCAACAGGTTAACTGTTGACCATGGATGTTTTTGATAGTTGACACTGAGCTTTTAATTGGAATCACACACAAAATTGCACTGTTATATGTTTCCTTTTTTCTTTTGTTTGTTCTTGGTTACTTGAGTGCACTGGGCTGCCCTTTTTGGTTACTTGAGTGAAAAGAGGTGCTTTTTTTTCCTTTAGTAAGAAGATTTTGAAACACGGTGAACCTGACTTTTATGTTTGGACTTCTCTATTTATGTGCATGTACTGTTACAACGTCAGATGTTTTTTCAACCTCACTTCACTAACTTCTTTCTACAAATTTATTCTCTTCTGCCGAAAAAATATTAAGTTATAGAACTGAATCATACCTGTTGTGGCATCATCGGATAATCATTGAGTTGCTATTTATCCCTTGCAAATAGGGCTGTGGGATGAACTTGTTTCAGCTTTAAAAAGAGAACAAAAGACTTGAACTTACCCTGGATACCGCCTAAGTTGCTTCCTCTAAGAAAGATGGTTCTCTTATACCAGTTGTAACGGCCCAGGTCCAACTGTCACAGTTTTGTCCCCTTGGGCTTTGATAGAAAAGGCGCCTCAACAGTTGAATCTTGAACTCGCCTTTTTATGGCCCCTAATTTTTTCCTCCCATTGCGATGTGGGATTTATCCAAGACAAGCTTCATTGCGAACCCCCTTTTGAGTTCTACTACCAACGGTCCGTGGGCTGTACATCTGTTGCACATTTTAATAAAAAGGAAGTAATTGTGGTCTTTGAGTTGCCAATTATAAGGCAATATGCGAATTGATTTTTGTCAAAGAATTGTAGAGGAAAATTATGTTATGTACCATAAATTAAAACTATCTTGAAAATATGCCTTTGAAGCATGAATGTATGGAAAACATCATTTGAACTAAATAGTCCCTTTGGATCTTCACTTTTCCAGCTTTTCTGAATTCTGATCTTGAGCAATCAGGGCTTTTCACATGTACTTATTTTCTTTGTTCTTGTCCTAATCCAAGTTTCAAGTGCGCCTTTTATTTGTCCTCTATCTTTTGGAAGGTTGTCCTCTATCTTTTGGAAGGTTAAATTCCAATAGAAGTCTTGAGTAGTTTTGATTCATTATATGCAATAGAAGGGGATTAAGCTTGTCTCTGTATCAGTGTGTTGTCATGGGGTACACCACAATTGAATGCTACTCTGCATCTGTTCTTGCATTATCTGTTAGCTTGTTTCAGCTTTAAAAAGAGAACAAAAGACTTGAACTTGCCCTGGATACCGCTTAAGTTGCTTCCTCTAAGAAAGATGGTTCTCTTATACCAGTTGTAACGGCCCAGGTCCAACTGTCACAGTTTTGTCCCCTTGGGCTTTGATAGAAAAGGCGCCTCAACAGTTGAATGTTGAACTAGCCCTTTTATGGCCCCTAATTTTTTCCTCCCATTGCGATGTGGGATTTATCCAAGACAAGCTTCATTGCGAACCCCCTTTTGAGTTCTACCACCAACAATCCGTGGGCTGTACATCTGTTGCACATTTTAATAAAAAGGAAGTAATTGCGGTCTTTGAGTTGCCAATCATAAGGCAATATGCGAATTGATTTTTGTCAAAGAATTGTAGAGGAAAATTATGTTATGTACCATAAATTAAAACTATTCTTGAAAATATGCCTTTGAAGCATGAATGTATGGAAAACATCATTTGAACTAAATAGTCCCTTTGGATCTTCACTTTTCCAGCTTTTCTGAATTCTGATCTTGAGCAATCAGGGCTTTTCACATGTACTTATTTTCTTTGTTCTTGTCCTAACCCAAGTTTCAAGTGCGCCTTTTATTTGTCCTCTATCTTTTGGAAGGTTAAATTCTAATAAAAGTCTTGAGTAGTTTTGATTCATTATATGCAATAGAAGGGGATTAAGCTTGTCTCTGTATCAGTGTGTTGTCATGGGGTACACTACAATTGAATGCTACTTTGCATCTGGTCTTGCATTATCTGTTAGTGATTGTGTCCTGGTAAACTTGTTTATGTTTTAGGATATTTATGTTTCAAGAACTTAATTTGGGGTTTGGTCTAACAAAGTTAGGTGCAGCTCTTCCATTTTCTTGGTTAAAACATAAACTTGAATTTTTTAGGACAAGTACTCAGATGAAATATATGTACAATAGATTTGACTCTTCGCCTCTCTTTTGAGAGATAAATATCAATGGCTTAAACATTTCCATTTGGTATAGATATCAGCCCATGGTAATTTCTTGATGTTTTTTCCCACTTGAATGAAGACATCTTATCCTCACCTTCTATGTCACCTTTTTTTTTCTTCTTTTTTTAATCGGATGTCTCCGAGGGGTCACCTGTTTTTCTTCACTGTTGACGTTTTCTTGGCCTTCTAAAGAAATATACTTCAGTGTGTGACTGTGTGTCTGTAAGCAATTTTCTCTATTTTCTTATTCTTTTTTCTCCATTAATTCATTTAAGAAACTTATAACTCCTCAATCTTCTTCCTCTTTTTTGGTAAAGTTTGTTGTTTTATATTTTTTGTCTCTATTTTCCGGGATGTAGAGCTGATCATCATTTCTAAAACCCAGGTTCCGAGGCAATGTTTGCTGATCTTTGCTATTTTTCTGTGAGATCAGTCCAGGTATGCAGCAGCAGATCTGGTCATAGGATTTGTGGCTAGGGGGAGTGGGGTGGGGGGAGGTGTATAGATATAATTATACCTACCCCTTTTGTATTTTTGATAAAAAAAATTTCTGATTTCATGGACGATTGTTGAGTATCAACCTTCTTGTTTACAGCTTACCTTTGTGTTCCTTGTGCTGCCATGCCTTCTCTTGGGTTACCTTGGTCAAGCAGCTTATCTTATGGAGAACCATGCTGACACAACACAGGCTTTCTTCTCTTCTGTGCCAAGTAAATTTCTGCATCTGTTCTTTCCCTGATAATCCTTGTTTACTTAGTATGAAAAATAAGGATGACACATTTCAATATACTTTCTACTTGAAACTAATCAATAATCTTCTATGATTTTGATGATAAAGGTTTATGAATCCAAAAGGAGCAAAAAACCAAGTCTTTTAGTTAAAATTTCCAATCATGTTGCAGGTGGAGCTTTCTGGCCCGTCTTCTTGATTGCTAATGTAGCTGCATTGATTGCCAGTAGGGCAATGACTACAGCAACTTTCTCTTGCATTAAACAATCCACAGCCCTAGGCTGCTTCCCTCGCCTTAAAATTATTCACACGTCTCGAAAGTTCATGGGTCAGATATATATCCCAGTGATGAACTGGTTTCTTCTCGCATTGTCCTTGGTGATGGTCTGTTCTATCTCAAGCATATATGAGATTGGAAATGCTTATGGTAATGCCTGGTTCCTTGTTCTTTTAGAATTTATTTATTTCTTTGCTACTTCATTTGGTTCTTTTCTTTTGTTTATTCCTATTACTGCTGGATGTATGCTCTCTGGTGCATATGGCGAATAGTGAACGTCTTGATATTTATTTTTCAGCAAGTGTTCAAGGTCGTCCGATACAAAATTTAAATTCCCTGTTCATCTAAGATCTTGTTTGACCTTTGATTTGACCAAACTAACGTGAGATATGTCAAATCTCTTGGAAAACTTAGATCCCTTACTTTCTGTTCTTCTCAGAGTAGGATTTTGCTCATATCATTTGGATTGACTCAGATCCTTTCATGTAGGAGAGGTTTTTGACGGGTTTTCAATTTGCATTGATCCAGGGGCCGTCTGCATGCACTTGGGCTTGCTTATTTATAATCTTTTTTGACTTTTGATTAAAACTTAGAAATTATATTGATTGATCTGGTGTTTGAAAGTATAAACCCTCCAAATTGCAGCATGTTTTCTAATTATTCATGAATGCTACAGTTTGATCCCTTTAATGGTTTCTATTTTTATTTTTATTTTTTTCAGTTATTGATCTTTATCATCACCAAGTTTCAATTAGTTAGGATATCAGTGTTACGTAACTAGAAGCTGCCACATAGATAAATCATTGGGGATCATTCCAAGTAACTAATTGAAAGATTAAAGCTACTGCATCTTTTCAAGAAATAGAATTTTGTAGAGTGCATTTACCAGGACAGAAAAACAGTTGAATAAGTGAAAATTAGAAAAAGAAACACAACTTAACATCCAATTTCTTGTCCTTCATTACTTTTTGTAGTTTGTCTTGAAATGATAAAAGTATGCATTTGATCTTGATCAGTTTATGATCCATGTTCAGTCAAATGTTGTTACGTAAAATGGGATGAATTAGTATTCAATCTTGTAGGTCGTGACTCTATATTTTCCATTTTTTGACAGGCATCTAAATATATCAGAGTGTATTGTACCAATCAGTTCCACAGGATGTAGTACATGTAATGACAACTGATTTGTTCGTGATGAAACTGAATATACTTAAGATATTAGGGTTTTTGCCTGTTAGGCAAGATAGCAGAAGAGTATTCATATGTTGCTTGGATAGTTAATGACAATTGCTTGGATTTCAATTTAGAGGTCCTGATCAGTTTGACTAGGAAAACAGTGGGGTGCTTCCAATTTTAATTAACTGATTTCTAGGCTGCATTATTAAATGAAGGCTTATACTGGCTTGTTCATGTCTGATGCATATCCTGTCTGACAGGAATAGCGGAGCTTGGTGTGATGATGATGACAACAATACTAGTCACTATTGTTATGCTTCTGATATGGCAGATCAACATCATTGTTGTGCTTAGTTTTGTCGTTATCTTCTTGGGGTTGGAATTAATGTTTTTCTCATCAGTTTTATGGAGTGTGGGAGATGGAAGCTGGATTATTCTGGTTTTTGCAGTAGTCTTGTTTTTTGTTATGTACATATGGAATTATGGAAGCAAGCTGAAGTATGAAACTGAAGTCAAGCAAAAGATGTCTATGGACGTGCTACGTGAACTTGGCCCCAACCTTGGAACAATCAGAGCTCCTGGAATTGGCTTGCTTTATAATGAACTGGCAAAGGGCATACCGGCTATATTTGGACATTTCCTCACCACTCTTCCTGCTGTTCATTCAATGATAATTTTTGTTTGTATAAAATACATTCCTGTTCCAGTAGTACCTCAGAATGAAAGGTTCCTGTTTCGGCGAGTCTGCCCGAGAAGCTACCACATATTTCGTTGTGTTGCCAGGTGATCATGCTAGCTTCTTTCATTCTCTGTTGGTACATTCTCTAGACAATCTGGTGTGATTTCTGTGGCCAAGGAGAACCTACTATAAATTTTACACTTGCATAGCTTTTGACTGACCTAATAAAGACTGCTGCATGACAGTTGAACTTATAAAAAAATGACTGCTGAATGACAGTTGAACTTATAAAAAAATGACTGCTGAATGACAGTTGATATCTTAAATAGTTGTAGCATTTGGGACAGTAATTTCTGTGATAAACCGGGACCTGTTATATCTTCAAGTGAACACCTACATTGTGATACCTAATTCTCGTTTGCAAACAAAATTTGCTAAATTGCCCAACTCTATGGGTACTTCTTCTGTCATGATTCTCTTGGACCCATGCTTTGGATACAGGTGAATTTCGACAGTTTTTCTTGGATAGATGCTTTTTCTTTTCTGCATTTGTTGTGTCTTTTTATGTGGAACCTGGCTACTAATATTTCAGCCCCAACTCTTTGAACTGACAGATATGGTTACAAGGATGTTCGCAAAGAAAACCACCAGATGTTCGAGCAGCTACTGATTGAAAGTCTCGAGAAGTTCATTCGCCGAGATGCTCAGGAGCGGTCACTTGAAAGTGATGGCAATGGTGAATCAGATTCTGAAGAAGAGCATGCCTTTTCAAGAGTCCTTGTTGCTCCCAATGGGAGTGTTTACTCACTTGGTGTTCCTCTCTTAGCTGATTTTAGGGACACTGGAAAGGCAGTTATGGAGGAAAGCACTTCAGAAGAGATGAAGCCTGGCCCTTCCTCTGAGTCGCTCTTGTCCGATGCTGATCAGTCCTTTGAGAAGGAGCTCTCATTCTTACGCAAGGCCAAAGAATCCGGTGTGGTTTACCTCCTCGGTCATGGAAATATTAGGGCAAGGAAAAGTTCCTGGTTCATCAAGAAGCTTTTCATAAATTACTTCTATGCTTTCCTTAGAAAGAATTGCAGGAGGGAAATTGCCAGTCTGAGTGTACCGCACTCGCATTTAATGCAGGTTGGCATGACATACATGGTGTGAGAATTAGCTTTCTGGAAAAAGCCCATACTGATATATTTTGGCGAAAAAGGCAGTTTTAGTCAAATTGCTGTTATGTCCCCCATATCAACTTGATGAGTGCAGACAAGTGTCCATATGTCTTCCTTGCGCATACCACAGCTGAATTTGAAGTCCCTCGTCTTATAGCTTGGAAGTCTTTGCACTGATCCAGTTATAGTAACGAATATCTCTCCATAGTCGTTTGGGTTTCATTCTAACACTGTCTCGACCCCTTGCCTTATTCAGTGCTTCTCATCAATTGAAGCTAGAAGAGCCAGAGAATAAGGGAAGAATGGACAGGCAGCGATCGCCAAAATAGATACAAACTCATAATATTGTAATTCTTTTCAGTTACCCCTTCCCTTTATAGTAACTATCTCCATAGTCGTTTGGGTTTCATTCTGACATTGTCATTCTTATAATTTTCATGTCGAAACACCTTTTAAATGTTGATGAAGTTTCCACTACATTGACAAGTTAATTCATCTTGTGGAATTGTTGCCTTGCTCTATATTGTTCTCTTTTGTTTTGTTTCTTTTTCTTTTTGTTCTGTTCTTTTATCTGTATGGATGGAATGTTAGCGTTTTTGATCGTGCGACTAGTGTGTCTATATTGTCCTGGATGGACATGTGGGACTGGAAGTTAGATTTGAACAATCAGCCACAAATGGTTGAAATATTTGTTCCACAAAATCTAGAGAGATGTACACAACTATTAGAAAATGATTGAATATTAACTCATTATTGATAGTCAATGAAGCGTTGATTTTTCTATGTTTTGGTTATTAATTTCAAAGCACGTCGATAAAGAAAGACTGGAAATATAGAGAACCGAAAGAGGAAGTTAAAACAAACATCTGATTCATTCATTAAGTTCTGTCTAGTAATTACCAGTAAATAAACTTGATTATTGAGTTGTAAACTTGTAATGGGTGGATAACAGAGTGCCACATTGCTAACACATTTAGGTTCAATTTCCATTGATAGAGATCGATGCTGCTTTTGGAGGATTTTTCTGAGATGATCAAGAAAAGTGGTTCAATATTCCTCAATCTTCACCACCTAACTATGGAGCATCAAACTAGGGCTATAAATTAGCACAAATGAAAAATGTACAGAGTTACAAGTGGAAACAGACTGATTAGTTGTTGTCAAGTGGCAAATGAAGGTCACAAACATGAAGCACGTTTGCTAATATGGAAAGATACGATCAAGAAATTAAAATTCTTTTGACATTCATTAGAATGAATCACAAGTTTCACAATTAGTAACAACTTTACTCTTTAGATTATATAGCATTTATTTATACAATTTTTAAAATATAAAATTTATTGGCATTTAGATTTGATTTCCATGAAGTTTCTAAAAACTATTCCGTTTAAACTTTATTTTGGATAAAGTTTTCTGTGATTTAATTTTTTTTTTCTTCTTAAGATGGAATTGGACAAGGAAAAGTATCAATTGTAACAACGCCCCACAAAAATTGTAGTTTACATTGATAATTGCTCCTGCCATTTCTTTTTTAATCTTCATTTGGTAGTAATTTCGCAAGATAGTCAAAGGAAACAATGAGTGAAAGCAATTGTTGCTTTGATCTTTCCTATATTTGGAATATATCAGTGTGGTTTTTTTTTTTTAAAAAAAATTTGATGACAATTACTTTACATTCCTATATCAAATTTAATTTTTAATTATTTTGGTTAAATTGATGTTCAAATCCTATATTAAGTAATTCTCCTTGATTAAGTTAAACTTTTATTTTATTATGCATGAATTCCGTTTATGTACACTAGTGGAGTTGGGGTTTATTAGTTATAACTAGACCTCTGGTGATATTCATCTCTTAAAGTGGATATTAGGTTTAAAAATTTGAAAAAACTACAAAATCAAAAAGTGATTCATTATATATAAATTCTTTGTTACCAATATATGTCATTTAATCAAAATCGTATACATAAAAAGTTTTTTTTTTTTTATAACTAACTTATTTTATTAATAACCAATGAAACGTTACAAAATAGTTAAACTAAATTCAGCTAGCTATACGACTCACCAAAACAAAATGCACCTCAGCATCCTCTGTCCGACATCCTAAGACATCACATCTAAAACAAAAGCTTCTGTAAACAAAATAATGCCAACTGAGGCTCTTACATTATAAATATAGACTTTCTTTTGCTATGGCCTCGTAGTATTTCTTCTCAAACATTCTCTGATGCGTCTCTATTCAAATGGCGTGAATATATTCAGCATGGGCAATTAAATCGGAGTAATGTCTGTTAGAAAAATAATTTGATAACTCAAAAAAAAATATTAAAATTGATGTCTAGGTTCATTTTTTTGATATTATGTTAATGAGCCTTTATTATAGTAATTATTTTAAATATATTTGTAACAGAAAATAAGTTTAATTTTGAATATAATAATTTTACTAATCTTAAATGGCTATCAAAACACTTTGACTTTTGATGATAAGAAATTTGCTGTTTGATAACGTTTTTGCTCAATGCGTTAAAGTTATGTAACGTCTGTTTCTTAACTTTGATAACGTTTTTGGCATTAACTTTAATATGCAATGTTTTATTCTTGAAAATCAGATGTCCATATTAGTTTTGGACTATATATAATATTCCTTTGTGATCATTTTGATGGGTGGAAAAAAGTGTGACAAAAGTAAACAAATTTCTTGTTCTTTTTTTGTGTTGAGTTTTCTTTTATTCAATCTTTGTTGTTTCTGCTCCTAGTTTATACTAGAAGGGCTTCTTGAATCTGGGGGATACGCTTAATTTTATTCATTACGATGTGGGCGAAATATCCTTAAGGACAGTGTCCTTGACACGCCTCAAGCAAACCTTTTATTCTCCATAATCATCCAATTTTTCCAACAATCTTAAGGATATCTCACTTTATTCTTATGGAGAATACTACTTATGAAATTCTGATTGGTTGACGTACGGTAATATCTTTCACTTGATATGTTTTTGCGTAACATTATATCTAAGTGTCAGATGCGCGTAATTGAACTGATACCTCTTATTCTTTTATGCTTATTCTCATGAGAATATAACAGGCAGACAAACTTTGACGTAAAGAATGTACATATAATTTCTTTCTAATTTTATTAGTGTTTCGGGCTGTGCGTTATTTACTAATATCGATTAGTAACGTGTTATTATTTGTGTGTATTTTGTATTGTGAAAGAAAATGCATGTTAACTCTTTAGTCTTATAAGTGTTGCTTTTGTAGTTCTCGTTATCTTGAATGTTTTGAATTTCCTCTCTTAAAATTTTAAAGAGGCAATATGTTATTTGTATTGAACAGTGGCAAAACTTAATTTTCTAATGCATCAATATTTTTATAGTTTACTTATGTTGCTTGAGATCATAAGTGAACTATTGAGTGATTCTAAATTTGACTTTATCAAAATGGTTAATATACATATATCTAAAAGAACTCATATATGTATATTATTGTCGATTGCTTTTTCCGCCCTTGTCTCGCTGAAATAATTTTTAATGTCAATATGAAAGAGCCTTACGAAATTTGTGATTCTTGTGGCGACAGTATATATATTGGAGAACGAAAGTATATTGTATTTTGGTGGAAGTACTTTATGATCTAAAAATAAATTTTGCTTATCTCTTGGTTATTTGGGTAAATGTTGAATAATGTTTGATTTTTCTTCATATAACTATGAGTTATTTATTTGAGATCAAACTATATTGAAAATAATAATTGTTCTGTGGGGGCACACTACACCATTATATATATCTCAATGTAGAAGAGGATTCAAGAGAAATTATAATCCTGCAAAGTCAAAAAGAATTTTGACTAAGCGGATGATATAATTATTGTGGTCATTTCTCAAGTGAATCTTATGGCTAATGCAACAGACTGGATGTTAGACGCTTCTGCTACTAAGCAGATTTGTGCTAATAAAATTAATTTTGTGTCCTACACTCAAGTTGAAGAACAAGAAGAATGATATATTTATTTTGGTGATTCAAGAACTACTCAAATTCTTAGAATGAAAATTTTCTTTTTAAACTCACTTCTGATAAATATTGGTATTAATTGGGTGATCCATAACTTTAATATTCAGGGAATTTTGGTTCCTGTAGAATTCTTAGAAAAAGTTGGAGTGAAAATTTTCTTTAAGAATGATGAGGTTGCATCAAATAAAAATATTTTTTATGGGCAGTGAGTATTGTAATCATTATTTGTTAATGTTTCCTACTAATTTTAAAATAAATGTCAAAAATACTAGTACTTGTACTTATATAAAATAAGTATTTATGATAACATAATGTCGGTAGCTATACATAATTGTTTGAGTGAAACTATATGCTGTTATTTATAAGATGAAATGTCTTGTATATGAGAAGTTGGTAATACTTCTTATAAGTTATGAAAAATATTACCCCCTATCTTAAAAGTTCTGAAATGTGGGGATCACGGTATTTTACTTTGGGTTTCTTTAATATTTGGGTGAAGAAATTATTGAATTATGACTCAGTTCTTATTTAAGATATTTTTGTAGAAGTTAAAGTTGCTTCTATGTTTAGAAAAGTTTACTTTGGTATTTGAATATGAAAGATACCAAAAGAAAATAATTTCTAATATGTGTTGAATATTTCAAAAGGCACTTGTATGGAAGTCAAGTTTCTTTTCTTTTGATATGATTTTGTGCGTTACTTGAGAAGTACTACGAGTTAGTATTCTGTATGTGAATTTCTACTGTATTAGAAGGAAACAGTAATGACATTGAATCTCTGATTCAGATGAGTAAAAGCTTACTAGTGATTGTATGAACACCTTTTTATGGGGTGTTGTGGTATTGGAATTGCCTAGCAATAAGGTTGATTAAGCAACCTCTTGGTGAATACTCCACTAGAAATTAAGCCGACAATATTTGTGTCGATGAATTGTGATTGCCAAAGCGCAATAACCATTGTAAGAAAATAAATCTTTCAACCGAAAATATACACACATTTTTTTAAGATATAATGTCATAAAGCAATTGCTTAGAGATGAGAATTTTGTATACATATTATGTGTAGTCAAAAGAGGATTTGGCCGATCCTTTGACTTATAAGTAAAACATCGAGGGGTTGAGACTTTTGCCAATTTGAGATGTATCAACAATGATGGTAACCCAACCTATGTGATTGGAGATACCATGAAGTAGGTTCATATGGGTAATAACAAGTCATTAGTTGATCAAATGTTCACTATTAAAGTATGTCTCTTCCTATGGTGTATGTGTACATAGTGCAAGACTGCAAGGAATGTGAGTTTGAGTTATTAAACTCTTAATCCAATAATCCATAGCCTTTTGTAGGTGGTGTATTGCACTGCAGAATACACTTGATGGATGGACCTATATGAGTGTGAAGTGGGGCCGCTCCTATGAAATTTGTGATAAAATTTCTAGAGCACTTATGAAAATCAGGCGCGCGCATGGCCTATTAGCGCAAAACCGTGACAAACAACAAAGTGTGTGCGAGTATAA